CTGTCAGCACATTTAGAATAAAAACCACAGGCACTGTATCTCCTGAAAAGGCCCATTCATGAATAAACACACACATTCAATAACCTAAATACACCAATAATCACATACAGAAGAGGAAAGTGCAAAGGGAGATCTGCAAGAAAAAGAAAAGATAACAGAAAGGGGGAAAAGGGAAATAATCTACACAGAAAATGTGATGTAACTGAAACGAAAATAAGAGAAGGCTGAGTCATAATTAAACTAAATCTTAATCAATCTTAGTGTAGGAAATGCTACACGTATGTATCACCCAGGGGTCATGTGAAGTTGGCCCATCACATAAAGATGGATGACATGACAGCTCTCCAAAAGTGAAGCCAAAACATATTGATTGCCTCCAGGTGGCTGACTGCAGTATAGGTCATAAAGCCCAGTGCCTGTTAACAGATGGGGCATGGGCCAAACAAAAAAAAAGTACACACTGAATAAATCCCAAAGATGGGAAAAAGACAAAGATGTTCAAGTGTTTGATTGGTTTTAAACAGTTATTTGAAGCTGTAAAAAGGGGTTTTCACCTCACAATTAACAGCTAAGACTTGCTTGTGATTAAGTCGGCCAGGCATATGGGCGGTACCTTGATGCTGTGGCACTACTCCACAAACTCTCTGAATTTCACACACTGGACCTTTAAGTCATTTCTGACTTTCTCTGTATTTAACCAAAACCACAATCTTTCCCTACCCTTAACTAACTGCCAAGCCCCCAGTTTGAATCAAGCTGGGGACATTTGTTAGGTTTCTTTCTGTCTTGTTTCCTGAGATACATCCATTATCACTATTTCATAAAGGTGTAAAATGTAAAAAAAAAAAAAAAAAAAGAAATTGGAAAAAATATATATTTGCAAATAAATAAAAGTAAAGTAAAAGTAATGTTTCAGAGATGGCTAAAAGGCATCAATAAACAAAGATAAGCATTTAAAATTATTTTTTCCGTATTTTTACAAAGTAAAGCAAATATTTTGTACCTTATCTGGTTGTGGTTGTAGGTACAGAAGAGGCATGAGGGTCACTGTGAAGTCTCACTTTAGATAACTAGAGAGACACTTAGAGAAGCCTCCTGCAGAGGTCTGTTACCATTGATGGCACTGAAACTGACATTGGATTTTTGGCTTATACACAGTTGCCAGCTGGTCCAGTGTGCACACACATAAACATCCATCACACATACACACATGCACACACACACACACACACACACAGGCTTGAATAGGCATTGATTATATTAGTCAGGGGGTTTGAAGAGCATATCTCAGACACAGGGTTAACTAATACACTGCAGACCAATGGTTTCCAAGTACATCCACACCAATGGACACGAACACACACTTTGTGCTATAATGGCATTGATCGTAAGTAGTCAGGGGGTTTTGAGACTGCGTCAGAGAGCCCTCTCCATGCTCTGAACTACTCAGAAAATCTCTGGACAATTGGTCGTCTTTTTAAAGTGGAAATGTTTCTAAATTGAGCTGCCTGCTTAAATAAAAGTTGTAAAAGAACACCAAGGGCAATGTATAGATTACCAGAAGCTGTGATCTGGATGCTTTGGCTGGAGTAATTTACTCAGTGGGGTAAAAAAAAACAAAAAAAACAACAATTGTAGCAATTATAATTCAGAAAATTTAGAATACATTCTATGTGACAGATGTTTTATGATCTGATTAAAATAATGTATGACAAAGATGAATAAATACAAATAAATGATAATTAATTAAATAATTTGTTCAGAATCATGAAATTGTGGTTCAAATTCAGCAACCTGACCACCAAATCACAGTGAAATAATAATAAATGAATAGAAAATGAAAATGAAAATGAAAATGAATCGTCAAAGTGCTGCTTTAGAATGCAGGATTAAAGAAAAATTGAAAATATAATGCATTAGTACTCGGATGGGGAAACAACTCCTCAGTCCAATATCCATCTTTCAGCTGTCATTCACTGGACATAAACCACTCTAATATACATGTAATGGTCCTCAACAGTGATTGTGTTCCAATCTTTCCCCTTTCTGATTGGGACGAGGGAACACACTTCAATTTTTTTTTTCTCCTATCAATTCTTTTCAGTACCACTGATGAAGCCTCAGAGAGTGTGACATGGATCATTTTTAAAGACACGCTGCTTGACAAAACAAATAACAGAAATAGACAAACAGAAATAACCAATAAAGAACTAAATAAATCTGTTAAGCTCAAGTGTTCTCTCCTTGCGGCACCAATATATGGTTTTCTCTTTCCCTGTTCGTAGTCTTCACTACTGCTCAGCACTTTGTACCCTCTCCTCCTTTCTCCTCCCCCACCTCTTCTCTCTTCGTGGCATTGTGCCTCACCCCACCTAATGGATATTGACCAAAGAAAGGCAGAAGAGAAGAACTGTACACACATGCACACAGACACTCTCAGGGCTGTGTTTTTTTTTTGTTTTTTTTTTCATTTACTCAGAGCAGAGCTGGTAAAATGATGATGCCTTTTAATGGATGTTAATCTCACGGTGCCTTGTTATTACATGTATAGTATCAGAGTCATGATTCAGCCATGATCTTATGTGATTAAGTAAGATTATGACAAATAATGCTCATGCATCATGACATAATTTAAGCATAAATATGTTTTCTTTCAACCAGTAAAGAACTGATGTGATGTTTTTTTTTTCTATAGTGCAAATAAAATACTCATGAATGGAAGTGCTTCTGTGTAAATGAGCATTTTACCTACTTGCCTAGTTCTATGCCCAATACCAATGTTGTCACGGCATGTAAATTGAGACATGAGCACATGTAGATTAGGTAGCTCAGATGGATCAGATCATCCATATGTCATACAAAGCAAATTATGTTTTTACATTATACTGTGAAAATCTAATGCAGGGTTAATTTGGTTCTCTATAAACAGCTACATTGTCAGCAATACATCAGCAAAGCAAGTGGTGCATCTGTTTACAGTGCAACCAAACAAACTCATGTTGTTTTAATAAAGAAGACCGAGATCTGAATTCTTGCTCACCGTGGTGCAAGTAGCTTTCTGGGCATGCTGGTGGTCAGAATGTTATGCAGCCCCATACGCAACAAACTGCGATGCACTGTGTGTTCTGACAACTTTCTATCAGAACCAGCATTGACTTTTACAGCAGTTTGAGCTACAGTAGCTTGTCTGTTGAATCGGACCACACGGGCCAGGCTTTGCTCGCCACATGCATCAGTGAGCCTTGGCCACCCATGACCCTGTCTCCGGTTCTCCGCTTTTCCTTCCTGGGACCACTTTTGATAGGTACTGACCACTGCAGACCGGGTGCACCTCACAAGACCTGCAGGTTTGGAGATTCTCTGACCCAGTCGTCTAGACATCACAATTTGGCCCTTGTCAAAGTCGCTCAAATCCTCATGCTGTCCATTTTTCCTGCTTCTAACAAATCAGACAGATAATCAGTGTTATTCACTTCGCCAGTCAGTGGTCATAATTTTATGGCTGATTGATGTATTTTGTACTTGCAGAGCTTCTGAGCCCACAAATGGCATCCAAACTTGAGCCGGCAGATGCAGATGGACGGTTGCTATGTAGGAGAACAGTTATTATGCCTATAATTGTAAGAAGCTGCTCATCTCCCACAGTTAGCTGAACTGTCTGAATAAACAAATGTCCTCTCTGGCTTAAAAATAACATCATAATCATTTTTCAGTAGAGACCCCCTTTGCCATATCTCACAAGTGTTGACTTTTCACAAATTAAGAGGAACTGTCTGATTCTCCCAACAACACAGACATATTTGACATATTCTATCACAGGGTCTGCGTTCAAGAATTATTTCTCCCCCGAGAGACAATTTCGGCTGTTGATCAAGAGTAAAAAGGCCAAGAAGAGCTAAATTGGTTATCAGAAGATTCTGTCGGGCAGTTTTGATTTGAAGACATTTGTGATTTACTCTTATAATCACAGAGGGCAGAGTTATATATTTGTCCATATCATTTGCACCTCTGAAATAATGAAATAAATAAATAGTCCACAGTACTCGCCAGTGATAGTATTAAAGCCACCTGTCACTCACTCAGATCTAGGAGGTTTTCCTAACCTGTTGCCATGACAACATTACAACATATGACAACAACTCAGAACTGAAAATAAACAGGGCTTTACCAGATTTTCTGGGAGATTTAGGCCATAATGTTGCCAGTGCTTTGGGTTTTGCAGAGAGCCTTATGCACAGGTCAACACAAGTCTAACGTGCCCTTACTGTAGTTCTATGAGTAACATGATCACAAAATGATCTTTCTGTTTATTCAAATGTTATGCATTAAATGAGGCTCATTACAACATTATTTAAATGCTGTGGCCGCAATCAAACATCTATCAAGAAGAATAACCATAATACATTGAACTCACCACTGGAAAAAAATTCTTTACCAAATGTTGTAGGGGTTTGATAGTCACCAGTTTAACAGTTGCCTTTGTCAGTCCATAATGACAAAGTAATGACATAGAGTCAACAAATGTCCTCGTCAAGTCTAACCCAACAAAACATGGACAAATATCATTTATAGAGCCGTAATAAAACAGAGTGAATCAATGCGGCACTGATACAAACTGACAGACAAGTTTTAAAACAGCTACACTCCTCACACTTGGCCCAGGCTTCCCTGCTTTCAGCGAACCCAACAACAGCTCGGTTCCACTACAGATGTCTTTATCATTTCAGTTGATTAGACTTTTACGACTGGATGACTGGCTAATCTCCACTTGTATCATCATCTGCTCTCATCTTCATAGCAGCGGCTGATGTCTCCTGATTAACTTCCACACAACTGCACACATACACGCTCATACTTACAAACACATACAGGCACAGAAATGTTTTTTTTTTACTAATACGCCTTAAGAAATTCATAGCAGTCACCATAGTCACACAATGCTGAGAGAAAATTTAATCCCACAAACACAGTTCATAAATGGAAAGTGTAGATAGACAGACCTGTAAACCAGTGTGTCATCCCCAGAGCTGTTGTACTGGACCTGGAACATCCTGACTCCAGATGTAGGAGTCTGACTGCTCCATCTAATGAGGGCAGAGTTTCCTGTCAGTTCCACCAGTGAGACCCGCCGGTCTGCCCCCCTTGTCTCGTTGTTAGGCAGTGCAACCTTAGAGGAGGTTAGGATGTCAGAGGGGGCAGGTTCAGAGGACGGGTCTCGGCTGCGGCTTGTGCTGTTTGCCAGATGGGGCATTGCTGTGACAACTAGCTCCACCCTTCCTGTGGATTCACCTGCTGCGTTTGAGGCAATGCATGTGAAGTTTCCTGAATCCTTCAGGGATGTTACATTGATCTCCAGGCTTCCATTAGGGAACACCAATGTTCTGAAACAAATTGAGATATATAAGAATATAATAAATCTGAAATGTGTTACAACAAAATAATACATTTTCCTCTCTCAATCACATCTGCTGGCTCCTAGCCATTCAGCTAGGATCTGATTAGTAACTGTCAACAGTGCAGACTGCAACTTGGGTTGCCATAGTAAGAACTTCATTAAATGGGCCAGGCCATTTAGAACCCCATTCATTTCAGTGAAGAAAGGAGCATGAAACATTCACCTGTGGTTGGGAAATGATCCACCATTATTCTGTCACTTTAAATTTATAAACCATCTACCCACCCAATCACATAAGCCCTCATTCACTTGCTGATGCCAACTTCCAATAGATCTATCCAGACTCTGGATCAATAACCAATGCAATGTTAGGCTGAGGAGCTATACTGCTACTACTGCTATACTGGTTGAAGGCTTTAGCCATAAATCCACCAATGTATTATATCCTTTAACTAGCCTTTCCTGAATAAAATATATAAAGATGAAACTTGTGTCAAAAGTGTGTAAGAAAGGATTTTAAAATGTGATTTTAAAGCTGATGATGTATTATACAACATCGTAACTAGAAACCCACATATTTGACATGTGTGCCAACTAGGATGCCAGAAGGAAATATGAGATAGGTGAGACCTAAACAACTACCTTCTGAACTTGATTCAGAGTCAGCCCACACAAGTCATGTGCCTACGCCTTACTACAGCCAAGACAAAAAATATGTGTATTTGACTCAGTTGCACCTTGACACCTCACATTGAGCTGAAGTCATACAGGACAGAATATTTACACAACCCCCCTCCTTGCCTTTCTGTCATCATTGAAAGTGGACTGGTACTCTCACAGGACAAGTAATGCTCCATTATTTACTACCTTGACTTTAGTTTTGAGAAACTGTACAATCTATAGGAAAGGAATAATTTATAATAAATCAAACATAATTCTGTATAGAAAGAATATTAGTACCTGGAGCTATTAGATATTAGTCGCCCTTCAGGGCTGATCCAGTGGACTTCAGGCTCTGGGTCGCCATTCGCTTTGCACTTGAGGCTGGCAGGCTGGCCTTCCATAGCCGTCGTATGAGGTGACTTACGAGTCAGAACTGGTGGGTCACAAATGAACTCCTAAAGGGTATAAAAGAATAAAGCCATACTTCTGATAAATCTGAATTATTTCCTGTGATATTGTATTTAAATGATTAACCCTTACCTACTGTTCGGGTCAAAATTTACTCGTTTTGACATTTGACAGCAGTAAAAATATCCTACATGTCATTCTTTTAACCTGAAATTTGATGAATGTTCCTAAAGTGACCCAAAATACACAAAAATGAAAATATTTTAAAATGTTATACTTTTGCACAGGTGCTACAAATTTTTGTACATTGCTGTTCCGGGTCAAATTTGACCCGGATCTAGTGAGATGGATTTTAGACCCACTAGAGTGGTTGTTCTAGGTAATCTTGAAACTGTGAAACTGTATATTCTATGTCTGTGTGTATTTTTATGGGACAGTGGAGTTGGGGGGGGACCTTGACACTGTCACAATAACTGTTCGCCCAGGTTCCCACAGGGAATTGGATATGGACAGTTTGTAAGGGTTAAAGATCTGTCTTGGTTTCAAGGTTACAAGACAACTTTTTTTTTGTTTCCTGCGTGACACAATTGAAAAGCTCAAAATGTCACCTCTTCAGGTATTGTCCAGAAGTATTTGGCACTGAGGTCAGGGGGAGAGGCGCATGTCTCGAGGTCATCTTCTCTGGTCAATCTTCTTAACCACAGAAGTTCACAGTTACAGTGAAGGGGGTTGCCACCAAAACTCAACACCAGGGAGGAGAGGGGGGAGCCTCTGGACTTGGCATAAACTGGGATTCTCAGAAACAACGGGTCCGGGGGGAATTTTCTTCAGCTTGTTGGACGTCATATCTAGCCTGTGAAAGGATGGGGTAGGAAGAAGATGAGGGGATTGACATTGAAATACAGTGTCCCAGATATAACCATTAGATCAACAGTAATTGATTCAGTTGATCAGTAAACTAGTCAGATCATCGATACATCATCTATCTTTACACACATCATCCGCTCATTTATCCATCTCTTCCTCCATCCATTTACCTGGCCAGTTTGTGTAGATTGGTGAATACCCCTTGGGGAACATTTTCTATGAGGTTATGGTCCATATTTAAGGTATTGACATTGGTTAGGCGCCCAATCGTGTCCCAGGGCACCTGGGCAAGGTTGTTGTAACTGAGGTCCAGATCCTCCAGTGTGGACAGGAAGTCATCAAAGGCATGGGGGGATATGGAGTGGAGCTGGTTGTTGGCCAGGATCAGGTGACGAAGGTTGGTCAAGCCTTTGAAATGATCATCCTGGTTGGGGAAAAAGTGAAAATGCTGTTAGAAGCGTCATAATAATATAATCATAAAGGTACTGCATCTATCCGCTGTACTGTTGTATATGTATTTTTGCCATTGTAGATCTATCTTTAAATTGTGTGTATGCACTAACCACCGACCTAACCTTTAGTTGTGTGGTTCTGCGGCTTCTGAGTCTGTTTATCAGTCCAGTTATCCATCTGACTATCCCCCGATTTGCCATCATTAATCCATCCATCCATCCATCCATCAGTCTTACCTTGATCACAGTTAATCTATTAGAGTCTAAGTGGAGCGCTCTCAATCGCCGCAGGTCACTGAAAGCTGAAGGGAGAATCTGACTGATGGTGTTTCTTGACAGGGTCAGATGTAGCAAGCTGGTCATGTTGGCAAAGTCCTTTCTTCGGACAGCTAGGAGTGAGTGGAACAAACACAAAGAAAGACTCCATAAGCTAAAATGCCAGATGTAGGTAAAGAAAAAACAGATGTCTGGAGATTCACAAAGCACAATGTTTGCCTGGCCACAGAAGGAGGTGCTGTCACAAAAGTGGGATTCAGATTGGACAGGGAGAACAAGTTTAAGATATAGATAAAGAAAAAAAAGTGTTACTTGGTGTTGCTGAACACACTGCTATGATCACATTTGTCAAGGCAACCACTTGACTGCTTTCACATGAACGCCATAGTATTTTATATTTAGATTGACAAGTCCATGCCTAATTAGCCTCTAGTGTTCAGAGCCTAGACCCTATGATACCAAGTATGCTTTTATTAATTCCCGTAAAATTAACTTGTTGGCATCATACACTAAGAATTTCAGTTGGCAGCAGATCTGTATATTCCCCAATATGAGATACAGAATCTTTAGTTTTGCATCGGGTAGTGCTCAACTTAAATTGATTTGGATGTGAAAAATGTGACTTAAATAACTGCGGCTTTGTGCTATTGTTACTGGTAGATCAAATTATCTTTCTGGACGCTGTGAAAGCAGTCTTTTTCAGTTTGTGTGTCTTTTGTTTTGGTGAACTATGGAATACAGTTTCTTTTTAGTCAAGCCTGGGAAGATTAGTGGCTGCCTTGGTGGGAGCTAATGGGAATCCAGATTAAAATAAAAGGACAAAGCAACACTTCAGTTCTTAAAAAATAAGTACATTTCAAAGTATCCAAAGGAACTCTTTTATATAAGGAGAAGCAGAATCATGAATAAGATTGTTTAGGCTGAACAACAAAACAAAAAAGATTGAAATTATGAAAGTTAAAAAGAAGAACCCAGATTCATGAGAAATATTACTAATTGCCATGTAGAGACAAACAAAATTACAATTACAGCATTTTGATATATTCACATGTGACTTACTCGACTCACTGCATGTATCCTTTGAATTCCAGCTGTATATTTGTGTCAACTCATTGCTTCCTCCTTTGCTATGACTATGCTGCTGTTTCACTGCTCAGTATCCAAACACTGCTGCCACAGCTACTACTTTTCAATTATGTAGCATTCCACAAGGCCTACATCAAACCTCACATACATCTGTCGGCACTGACTGTATGTTCACCCTTGAGGAAATGATTCAGACAGAGTTTACCATGCTAAATGTTTTGTTACCCTGTCTTGATAGATGGTAAAATGTACAAAAGGACAGACTGGCAGGTATGTTACCTGTAATGAAGTTCTCTTGAAGCCGTAGCTCCACGGTGCGTCGGTCTATGGCAGCAGGAACAAACAGCAAGCCTGTCTTGGAGCAGAGGATAGCGAGCGAGGGAGAAAGGCTCTGGCACATACAACGTTTCGGACACGGCTGTCCCCTGCATGCTGCTGCCAGCAACAGCAAAGAGAACCACAGCCGTTCCATTATCCTCCACTGGGAACAGGGCAACTGGAAGACAGGAGGAAATGAGCAATGTATTAAAAGTAGATACAAATATTGTGTCACGCAAGACAACTAACAGGAAGTGGCAAACCTGGGTGATTTATTGACCTGCAGATAAACTTTGCCAGTCAGAAGACAAACTGTTGAAACATATACGCATTTATTAATATGTAAAGCCCTTTGTGGACTCAAAATTAGAGCGTTTGTGTGTCAAACGTAAGCAGTGGTGATGTCAGAAGTGACACAGATGAAGGAAGATAAGCCACATAAACAAAAGCAATTTTAGAAGTACAATTTCCTTATTAAATGTAAAAAGTGTTAAATTTCTTTGAGGAGGCAAACAATAATTTTGTTATTTTTTTAACAGCAGCACACTTTGCTTGTTAAACATAAATCTGCAGCATAATGTACCAATCCAAGCTTACTACCTTTTTATACTGAATCATTGAAATAAGTCCTGTCTATACCTGTGTTTGGCAAAATAAAGGGGCACTTTTTTTTTTACTTTTACAAGGAAATCAAAGATAAATGTCTATGAAGTTAATGCCTCATGCATGTATTCAAGTGTAACTTTTTCCAGACAGAAAAAACAGAATAGACAAATACTACTAGCAGAATCATTTTGTAGGTGTATACTGTATAGTTCTGTGATTTCTGCCAACACAGTTGACCTAAACGTGTAATTGTACAGCCAAACTGCTATGGAGCAAAATACTCTTTAAAAAAAGTCCTTTTGTAGCTTCATAATAAAACCAAGATAGAGAGGAGAGTGAGAAGTAGATCATGGCACTGCTCAGGAGCTGAACTAAATTACACAATACTGTGAGCTCATAATGGGGTCTATCATCTTGCGGCTGTATGGTGAGTTGGCATTTTCCTGAGGCACACTGGGGATTTTTCCTCGCTGTTTGATATTTTGGCAAGATTATTAGAGGTGTGATATGTTACTGTCAATCCAGTGGCACATTGGAGTTTTGGTGTCAAGATTTCATTATGGCCACAAAATCCATCTGTGGACTGTATTTTTATTCCAATTATGGCCATAATGCCAGCAAAGTGAAATAGAGATTAATATATGTTGTACTTGCATCTCTCTCTACAACAGCTTGCATGGTGAATGAAGGCTTTTTTTAAGTTCATTCTCCCTATTCAGCTCACATATGGCTGCAGGTTTGTGTTCTCTTTCAAAGTTCTGTGATGAACCTTGTCAAACCATGTTATGCACTAAGCTATAACAAAATAAGCACACATACAACTGTGCTCTTTGTTATTGTTCACAAGGTTTTTTAGTATATGCAGTGCAAATTAGTGCTGAGCATGGTGACACTCTCAGTACACAGGGGACACTCATAGTTTAACACAGTTCCATCAAAAGCTGTCAGACAAGACTTCTCTTCCCAGTTTACACCACTTAAACCCCCTCAGGACCACCCTCGCTCAGTATCTGTTTAAAAACACCTGCTACTTCTTTCCAACAGATGCAGCAAAAGTCGCACCTGAAGCATCACATTTATAATTGCACTAGATGTTGACCTCTGTCTACAATGATATGGTGTGGTACAACAGGATCATGACAGCTCATAACTGTAACAATGAAATCTCATAGTAAGTAAATTAATATACATATTGTTAATAATAGACAGTTAATTAGGAGACGATGCCTCCCTATTAAGACTTTAATAAATCAATGTTTTACTCCCAGTTTGACAATAGTGAAGGCAAGGATTGCATAAAACACACATTTTCTGACATGAGTTCATTGGAATGTCACTATACATACCCAAATCATGGGTAGCATGAATGCACAAGGATAGCTCCAGAACAAGTCTAACAAGTAGATAATTTAATGAAATCATCTCTACTTTCAAACACTACCAACAGGACTCCAAACTCATGATGTAATATGTATGTGTACCAGTGGACAGCAGTATATTAGCCTGCCCAATCTGATTACCTGGATGGTTAATAACATTAAACTTGTATTCAATAGGAGGCCTGTCTATACTACTACTCCTCCATTCTGCTCCTCCCTTGATACTCCTAAATATCACAGACAGACACAGATCATTTTTATCAAGGGATGTACTAGAGCATCATAAGATAAAAACACCTAGTGCTGCTACATGTTTTTTTCTCTTTCTTAGATTTTCCTGTGTAAATTTGCCAAAAATATACAAACAAACAAATGAAAGTGCAATCTTATGAGCCTGCTAAAAATAGATATGCTTTAATTTCATCCTTCATATTCTCCATCCTCCCACAATGTAAAACACAGAGAATAAACAATGGGTAGCTATATCTTACATATACACAGACACCTCACTTCTTCTAACAGTGTTTCCATTTCACTTTTCATGTCACTCAATATATTTCTCTCCATTACTCCATGATTATTCCTTCTACCATACTGTATCTCTCCATCCTATTGCCATCATACCACACATTATTCACCTATTATTTTCTCTATCATACGCTGTAATCTACAGTGTAATGTGTCTTCTCCTATATATATCACTTGCTCATGGTCACTCCACCCCTGTACTCCTTCACTTCATTTTTATGATGTAGTCTATAGCTGTCCATCATTCTCTGTAACTAATTGATTTTCTTTCAACAGGAGTCATCTTGCTTCTCAGTTTTTTCGCTCTCAGCTCTTCTTCTTTTTTTCCCCACTCTCAAATCTTTATTTACACAGCATGTTTCCTACAGAGGATATAATTCTCATTTCTAATCACCCACTTTCATTTTCACTCCCTTGCTTTTCCTCATGATCATCTATCTTGCTGGCCCTCTTGCTGGCCCTCTTCCTCAATTGCTCCATGCTCGCTTCATGTTTCTCCACCCATCATCCATCCCTCACCCTGTCTCACTCAGTTTTATGATGTCTTTATTGTAATGTATCTTTAATGCGTTTATGTTGCAGAAAGTGGTACCAATGGTGATTTTAAATGCACACATCCCTCACTTGGTCCACCCAGTCTTACTCTTGTGTGTGTACAACAACGAGTCTACAGTATAATAACTATTCTATGTTGAACATTTAGACATACCTTACTTGGTTTTCCAACACATCAAAACTATGTGTGTTTTTGAGGCAATTCAATTATGGACATATGGGTTTGTGTAATTCAGTGAGGATGATAGCGATCAGTCACCCACTATTACTCACTGCTGTGCTTGTTCAGCTATAGAGAGTTAATAACACAAGAGAAAACAGATCCAAGCTGTCTGCCCTTGTTACCAGTCAGATTGGGCCATTATAGTAAGCAATTTAAATGACAATCTAATTCGCTCTCTTTTCTGTTCTTGGGTACAGGGTAGAATGTCACAGTTCTGCCCCATGTCAGTGAAAATCCACCTGGTTTGAATCAGCTATGATAGTGACTGGCTGTCTTATACACCCTCATACTAAGTATCTCACTGCATGATAATATGAATACTCTAATGCTGAAAAAATGTGATTCAAAATAGAAGAATCGTGTGGCAGATATCATGAAAGCCCTCCTGACATCATCTATCATTAGAACGTTGGCTACAATGCAAATCAAAAATCTTTCCTAACTTACTTTCAGACCTGCCTACATGCATAAAGCAGTCCAAAATATCCCAGGAACAACTAAACAAAGAAAAGTGACCTGACTGTGAAGTTAGCTTTTGATGTTTTTTGGCTGCTGCATTTGGCAGGGGTGTAGCAAATAGCTTAATTACCAAACTGAAATCTACATTACTTAAAGTTTAGATAATGAACAATTTTGTCGGATTTTGTCCGATGGAGTTAGATCAATACCAGAGTAGCCCTGGTTATATCACAGTTCAAGCTTGAGTTTTTGAAAGAGGACTTTGGGCAACCTCAGATATAATTTGGTCTTGAGCCAGCTAGGCCTTAATCTTGACTCAGACTCTCCTGCGTTTGGTCTTGGATTTGTCTTGGACATTGGTGGTCTTGACCCTTTGATTGGTAAACCTATGAGGATTTTCAGTGGAACCCAGGTCAGTTAAATGGTACATAAACACTTCTGTCTGGAAAGGTGCTGAGAAGGGTGGCAGTAGTTTTAAAAGACCAGGACTGAGTGTGAGCTGGTTGTGCCACTCCAGTGCTTTTCACTTCATCAACATACAGTTGCAGTTAGCTAAACTATATTTAACTCTGCTGATGCCTGACAGACCATGTCATTCCAATCATATGCAATAGTAACTCCAGGATTTAGAATCAGAGAATATTTCTATTTAGCATACTACATTCATGCATCATTTTGATTTCAATTAGTAAACTATTAATCACAAAGAATGACAAGTGACTCAGTCTTGACAAAGCTCTTAAGTTTGCAAACAGAGCTGAACTGTCAAATGTAGCTGGTAAATCAGACCGAATATGGCATTTGTCCAGCAAATGCCAGACCACCACCACCCATGAACAGTAAAACTTTCAACAAAATCCAATTTTTAACACATTTTGATTGGACTAAATGTCATGTCATTAAATTCCGATATAATGATTATTTATGTCTGAAAGTCAGAGGTAACAGACAAAACACTTCTAGCATCATTTTGCAGTAATTACACTGGAGAGTTCGGCATTGATATTCATTTTCTACAAGTGACTGTAAAAGCTGTCAGAACAACATTGGCGATGTCTCCAGCAGTGACAAATGTTTATGTTTTTGCAAAGTAAGGCACAAACACACACTGACAGTCTCTTTGTTTTGCTTGACAGTATGATCTCCACTTCACATTTGTGAATCAATCAGCTTCTCTCAGGCAGAGGATTTTTCCATGTGTTTAGGGCAGATATTGGAGCTACATTACTATGTGTACTGAAGATGGTGGGACCTGAATTTACTCTTTTGAAGAGAATGGTCATTAGTTAGGGGAAGACATGCCGGAGATACAGAAGTCTTTTTCCTTCAATAATACTGGAAAGTTCTGAAGAAAGCAGTAATTAGCAATGTATTCTGCCAAAACACTGCCCCACACATCCATTTTCTGAAAATCACCTTCACAGGTCA